GCCTTTGTCTCATAATTCAGTGATGTTTAAAAATAGGAGAAAGTGAAGAAAGAGCTCAAGTGGTAATTTATGCAGTATATTCACTAGGGGTATAAATTTATATAAACCTACTAGTTTTTAAAAGCTATTTAAAAAATGATACAGCCATTGTATACAAGTGAGTGTGGTCAAAGAAACCTCTAGAATTTAGTCTACACTACTCAAGCCTTATTTTCATGGACTCAGTAAATTTCTGTTACATTTTAGGCGGTTACGTTGGATGTCAAATTGACTTCTAATGACCCTTACCTAATATTCAATAAAAATTGGAGTCTATTAGAAACTTTATTTTAAGTTTTCATCCTAAATATTCTTCTAATTCAAGAGCTCTGAAAACACAGGTTTTGCATTATTCTACCCTGGCTTCATGGCTAATGATGAATATACTTGATGAGGAATACTTCACTTTAAGTGGCAGTTCTGAAGTACTTGCATGGAAGGTGGTGCACAATTAAAATTATTCTAACAGTCTGTTATGCACTGTACACAAGTAATAAAATTAATGGATGCACTTGAAGTAATGATCCATTTCCTCTGGGTGCAATATATTTATTCATGGACTATTTCAGGGGTTGTTTAGAATATGAGATGTGAATGGATTATGATCCATTATCCCTGAGATTCTAATGTGCTACTAAAAAATGGATTCCATAAGTATTGTTCATAACGCCTGGTGAGTTAGTGTTTGTATTCTTAAGTAGCTAACAAAAATTTAGAAAAACAGATGGTCAAATGATTGATGCTTAAAACTTTTCAGATATTTACACCTAAAAACTGTCATAAAACTGTAAATTTTCAGTTGAGTTAAGGAGCATGTAATTCTTTGAAATACACAGAAAGCAGTTATATAGAATAGTATAATTATTCATATGCAAGTATTCGCTTGAAAAAAACAGTATCCTTGTTTATTCTACACAAATTTTAAGGAACTTTCTCATAATAGATAGCTGATTAATTCATGAAGTTGAAATAATGGGTTTTATGGTTTTAGTTACAGAGAGATACATGAAGTGATGTGCCATGTGACCGTGCTTTTGATCCTTCCCCCAAGTAGTTTAAAGCAAACTGGAAGCAAAAGAGACCATGTGCATGTTTGTGTTTGGTTTTTTGTGTCTGTGGGTATCACTTGATATTCATATTCATATTCATGTGAAGTAAGCTATTGATTTAGTATTGTATGAGTTCACAAGTACACTGTATTTGTTCCTTACCTAGTCTAAGCTGAGTTTAGAGTTTAGGACAGATTACACTCTTGTTGAGCAGGAAGTATATTCACACATGAATTAATACAACATTTACATGCAAATCCTTCATGATATATCTTATTCTCTGTGATCAGCATCATATCTTTGCCAGTGACATGTAGGAATTTCTGGGTTGTTTTTTGTTTTCATTTTTGGTATGGTTGCCCCTTAGAACATGAATTGAAAGTGATTATAGATATATGACCAAATGTGCCAAGCTTTGCTAATAAACTCAGGAATTTATCACTGGTTGATATGATATCTTTGAAAAGTTTCGACATATATTTTTATATCCCATATTAGTGTCATATTATATAAACTTAGCACTAACTTTTTAAAATATTAGTCATTAATTTTTTGATAAATGACCCCTTTGCAGTCATTAAAAAGACCCCCACCGGGGCATTAAAAAGTCGGTTGGGTATTAGACTTCTGCTGAGATCATGATCTCACAGTTCATGGGTTTGAGCACCACATCAAGCTCTGTGCCGACAGCTCAGAGCCTAGAGCCTGCTTCGGATTCTTTGTCTCCCTTTCCCATCTCATGCTCTCTCTCTCCCTTTGTCTCAAAAATCAACATATAAACATTAAAAAAAAAAAGACCCCCACTATCACCAATGTCAACATTTGAAAGATATGATTTCTTTTTTTAAAATTTTATTTAATTAATTAATTTATTTACTCTTTGAGAGAGAGAGAGAGAGAGAGAGAGAGAGGAAGAGGGAAAGAGAGAATCCCAAGCAGGCTCCATGATCATTGCGGAACCCGATGTGCGGCTCAGTCTCACGACTATGAGATTGTGACCTCAGCTAAAATCAGGAGTTGGATGCTAAACCGACTGAGCCACCCAGATGCCCCAGGATATTTTTTCTTTTTATTGTTGTTAGCTACATGGTATTTTCTATAATTTTTACCAATATTTATCGGTTGCCTGGCATATGTCAGACTTTGTGTAACTTCTTCACACACGTTAACTCAGAACCCTCATAGGTATCCTATGAGGTCAGTTCTCTTTTAGCTCATTTCATAGATGAGAAAAATGAGATCCAATGAGACCAAATAATTGAACCTAGTTTACTCATTTAGTAAAAGGATTCAAATTTGAACTTGGTTCTGCCTAATATCAGAGCTATTATTGTGAATTTCTAGAACTTTGTTTACCTTCACCATTTATCCTAATAGGGAGAGCCTTATGTCACCTATCATTGTATTTTAATTTACCTTTATTCAGTTATAAAAAGCATTATGTTAATGAGTAAGGAACTATAGATTTCATAATGGATTTGTACAAAATTTGCTGTTTCATTTATTTTCATTCCTTTTACAGTGATGTTTACCATCTGGATATTTTTTTGGCATGACATATTGAGCCGATAGTTTTGGGTGATGATCAACAAGGACACATTAAATTCTATCCCTAGATTTTAATAGATACCACAGGACCTATGGGTAATTCATTGTAGTTAGGTTTATATTTTTCTGATTAAATTAACATCTATTACTCATATTGAAAATTAACTTAATTTTTTCATTTGAGAAGGAGTTTTCATATGATTGACCTCTCTCAGGGACAATGAGATGTGTCTCTGTGTATTTCCTTGTAATTTAGACCATGTAGCATCAGTTCATCAGTACCTTTAGCATGTTTTACCTGCCTACCTTGGAATTGGACCACCCTGGTGGTCTTCTCAGTGCTTACTCAACTTTACCATATGCTGAAATCATTTCCTCTAAACATCATTTATTATATACATTGCATATTTTTGAATCATTATCTAACATAATATAAAATTTCTCCCCTGTATATTTTTAAATTATTCTCTTTCATTTTCCAACAATAATGTTAGCATTTTATCATATTATTTTTTTATCTGAGTTGCCTAGATGACCACAGTTTTGGATTCTTGACTGATGTTTTGTAACAAACATGATTATTTTTTTAATTTTTCTTAATTATTTATTTACTTTTGAGAGAGAGACAGCGTGTGAGCAGGGGAATGGCGGAGAGAGAGGGAGACACAGAATCCGAAGCAGGCTCCAGGCTCCGAGCTGTCAGCACAGAGCCTGACGCAGGGCTCGAACTCACAAACCATGAGATCATGATCTGAGCTGAAGTTGGATGTTCAACTGACTGAGACACCCAGGCGCCCCAACAAACATGGTTATTTTATAACTACAGTTACTTCATGGCATCTCTAAAGCATATTTTGGTATAATTCTTGGTCACTGCTCAAAACCAAATTTTCACAAACAGTGTATCACACAAAACATCCAGATTTCTCAACAAGGCCACTTGCTTCCTTAACTATTAGGAGAGTATTAGAAGAAGATTTAGCTTGTAGAAACCTTTTATAGTTGTATATATGGGGATATGCATATTTTATCTTTTTACACTTTATCTTAAAGTTATTTGTCTTACAAAATCTATCATCCAAAGAAGGAAGAAAAGATTGTTGCCAATAATATTTGCAAAGTTTGTGTTCTCCAGTGTCTTATCAAAAGTGAGGTTTCAAATGCATTGAGAGATGTGGTTTGGTGTGTGTGTGTGTGTGTGTGTGTGTGTGTGTGTGTGTGCATGTGAGTGAGTGTGTAAGAACACCTAAATTTTGTCAGTTAACTATGGAGAGTGATTTTTTGTAACATAGCATTACATGATATTTCTACTCTTTCATGATATGTATAGGATAATATATACTTGGATTGATATTAGTCATCACATATCACATTATGACAAAACTTACATAAGATAGTATATATTGGGGTGTCTGGGTGGCTCAGTCCATTAAACATCTGACTCTTGATTTCAGCTCAGGTTGTGATCATACACTTTGTGGGATTGAGCCCTGTGTTGGGCTCTGTATTTACAGTGTGGAGCCTGCTTGGTATTCTCTCGCTCCCTCTCTCTCTGCCCCTATTCTGCTCACACACTCTCTTTCTCTTAAAATAAATAAATAAAACATTAAGAAATGATAGTATATATTAAAACACAGTGAATTCCTAACACATAGTAGAGTGATAATGATGTTTTTATGTTTCCCGTTTGACTTGGATAGATTTATTTCTGCTTTAGTTTTGCTATAGATGATGTTAAAATTTTCAGATCACCTTTCATATTTGTAAATGATACGTAAGTAATAGTATTTTTTCATATTATATTTTTTTTACTGGTTGTTTCAATTTGTTGGACCCATGGAAAATCTGCTTATTTCTGGCTTTTATAGAAGAATCAGAGAATTACTGCTTTTTGATGAATTTTCTTTTTTTTTTTGGTTGAAAATCCAAGTAACATTTTGGCTAATACCCAAACCATTTAAAAAATACAAATGTTAGTGTTTCACTGTACATTTTAATAGCATACATGGTATTTAACAATTATTTGGAATCCTCCAAAACATTTTTTTGTCCATGATCATTCTTCCAGCCACCTTCAGAGCTTTGACCATTTTTGTTTTTATTTAAATATATTCTACTTCTCTACATCTTATGTGTCCTTATTTATTACTTTATTACATTCATACTCTTGATAAGATGCATCTCTAATAAGTTACAATCAGTAATCAGAAATCATTGGTACTTGTGTTTCTTGATCAGTAAATAAATGATTTGTTTGAAATCCTTAATATGATGAATACTTTAAAACTTGAGACACATTGGTTTTCAGATAATGTCTTACAGTCTGGGGCTTCAGTGGATATATTTTAAAAATCTTCTTTCTAGAGGGTGTTAATGCTGACAGCATCAAACAAGCCTCGGAACAACTGAACAGCCGGTGGATAGAGTTCTGCCAATTGCTAAGTGAGAGACTTAACTGGCTGGAGTATCAGAACAACATCATCGCTTTCTATAATCAGCTACAACAATTGGAGCAGATGACAACTACTGCTGAAAACTGGTTGAAAACCCAACCTACCACCACATCAGAGCCAACAGCAATCAAAAGCCAGTTGAAAATTTGTAAGGTAAGATTCTTTCCTCCTATTTGGATCATGATCAATAGGAATTTCTTGGCAGTTTCCAGAAGAGTAAATTATTTAGTAAAAAACTTACCCATTGAAGGATTTAAACACAATAAGGATAAAAATATAAGTGAGGAAAATGAGTTTAAATAGATAATGCATGATGTCTCGATCCTAAAAAAAATGTATTTAGAGTACTCACACATGGCTAATTGATTTTGTCAGTTTGCAGAATGGTGAGGCAGTTTTGGAGTATAGAAGCAATACATATCCTAGGAGAAATGGCCAATAACTGGGAGATCTTTTTTATGGCAACTCATGTGCTAAAAGCAAAACTCAGTCATATGTTGAAAAAGTGGAATCCACACAAACACAAAAAGTTGATATATAATTGGATGTATAGGGAAATTCTTTAAAACTGACAGTTCTCTCAAATTAGGATAATTTGAGGAAGGCTTCTTTACCAACATACTTACCCTGGTGCTTGGAGTATAGAGGAACCATAAAGGATAGTACAGTAACCTGGCGTCAGAGTTGTAACCATTCTCAGGACAGAAATGATTTAGAGAAGTTACAGAAACCTAGAAGGAAGGAGTTGGACACCTATTGTAAAGACAGCCTTAAGAGCCAGCCCAAGTGCCATGCCAGGAATGGAGCCAGAACAAAAAACATGTTACTTCACTGTCCTCCGTGACTCCATAATCTTAATCCAGACAGGACTCCACACTGGCTAAACTTAATCAGAAGGCAGATTACAAAGAGCTGTAGTCTATAATTGTCTTTCCTCTGAGTCCTAGAAGTGGACAATGGATCTGGAGGCCAAACAACATATAACTGGCACCAAAGAACTGGAGAAAGAGATTAAATGAATATGTCGGCTAATGTTAGGAAACCAGAGTTATACAGTAATGAAAATAACTTGAACTTTTTTCCCGTGGTTATTATGATCTGAGTAATTTTCTTGGGATATGGGATAGATGAAAAGGTTTCTAGAATGAATCTTGATGATAGACTGAGATGACCAGGTTTAATATAAGAAGTAGTGAATGAGGATCAATTTGCATACTTTGAAAAGGATGGTTTAAATAACAGAAAACTGGAAATGGAGAGCTGACAGGGTTTGTTTGGAGGTGTTGTTGAACCCAGGAAGTGACGGGAAATTCAGAGCTAGTGTGAAGTAAAAACAGTTGAAGGACTTGATGATTCTTCTTCATATATCGGACCTACAACTTTACTAGGAAATGATTAAACTCGGGAAATACATTTTTAGATAAAGAATATAGGACAGAAAGACATTTAGCTTTTTTATGCAAATAAGTAAATCTAGGGAATTTTTATACTTAAACACATTTTGCTGTTAATAGAAATCATGAATCTTTACAGTGCAATACTCCACCTACATTATTTCTTGCAATAAAATCTGATGCTATTACCTTAACCTGTTTCTTGAGATTCAGATACAAAAAAATAACCATAAAATGTACAATGAACTGGAAGAGGGCTATTCTGAATGCTGGGCATAGATGGGTGAGGGGTGGAAAAAAGATGAAAGATGAAGGCTAAAAGACAGGCTCAGAGGAGACAAGCAAGGACTCTAAGGGCCTGCTAGGACCTTGGTCTTTATCCAAGGAGCAAATCGAGATCATTGGTGGTTACAAATCTTAAATATTGTCTCCAGGTTAAGGAAGTCATCCTAAGTGAAATTATTTCTTTTTTCTGCATTCATCCACAAGGTTCCAAACTCCTTCTCTATGCACCTTTGGTTTCTCTTAATTTGATGAATCACCTTAGGTAAAATATTGAGCAGGATAAGCTCAATGTCATTCACACAACAGTTAAAATTATACTATTTGGCTGTGATTAATGATAGTTGAATAAATGATTCTGTCTTGTTTGCCAGTGCATTCTGTTACTTGGAGATGTTTTCTAAGATCAGACTGCAGTACTAGCTCCAAATATAATGCTTACAAGAACTGGTTCTTAATTTGTTGGAGGTTAGAGAGCCCTTTGGGAATTGCAAAACATCCATGGACCCTTTCCCAAGAAAAATAAAAAAGTTCTTCCATCAGATAAACACAAAATTCTAAAGGATAAGCAGACTCAGGGAAGATGTCTTACTCAGGAGGACTCACCAGATTAAGGCCCTTTTTATGTGAATAATAAGTAATTGTTAACATCTTTTAAATGTTAAATATTTCAGGTCAAAATGATCTCTCCTATGATTTACTCTGAGAACTTTAAGGTCTCAACTGAACAGTTGCCCAAATATTTTATTAGTTTCAAAGTCCCTTTGTTTTGCAGAACACACTTTACTATACTGTAGGCTCCTTCGATAGCCCCCTAAACAGGAAGAATGAAGGCCCTCCATCTGGCCAAATGTAAATCAGGTTCTTAAATGTTTCACAGCAGATGCCAATGCTGCCATTTGTAAGCCAAGTGTACAAAGTGCATGCCTTCAGTTCTATAATCAAAAACACAGAGTATTACCCTTTATCTCTTGTCCTATTCATCCATGGATATGATATGTGCCTGCCTTCTAGCCCTTGACTGAGAGGCTTTATACTGGAATGGAAGAGATGAGTCCCCTCCCCATTTACATAAATGGCTTTCATCTTCACCTACCAAAAGAATTTGATTGTCAGAGATTAACCTACCTGAATCAACTCTTACTGTTAAAACCACGTGACAATATTCCTTTGAAAGTTATCTTTGTATCTTCTAAAAATCAGAACAAGTGACAGCGCCCATTAGAGAGTCTTGCAACTATGAAAGGATCTTTGTGATAAATTTATCTTACTCAATCCTAATAAAAAGTTACTTTCTCCAAAACAACATGAATGCCTCCAAAAAATAACTTTTTCTTTTTTTTCCTTTTCATTTTGACTTCCAGGAAGCTCAGATTTATATTTAGTTCATAATTACTGTAATTCTTTTTATTTTCCCCTCCTTCTAATTGTCTTGTGATCAAAATTTCAAATTTTAATTGTCGTGTTTCTTACATTTTAAATGGTACGCAATCCTGAAGTACTTTTTTCTAAAGGTAGCATAGGTGAGAATTATAAGTAAGCAACCATGGTAATAATACTTAAATAAAGAACATTTGGAAATTCTGTTTGAATTCAGATTATATATATATACACACATATATATATATACACACACACATATGCATATATACACATATACACACATATACATATATACATATATATACACATATACATATATACATATATATACACATATACATATATATACATATATATATCAAAATTCATTGTGTTTTACAATGACATCATATCTGAATTTGGACTGGCCACATTTCAGGTGTTCAGTAGCCACATATAACTAGTGGCTACTGTATTACACAGCACAGTGGTGTGTCCATGTGACTTTATCACACAAACGGGGGGTACTCTTTGAGAGTGAAAGGGGGTATTATTAACAATTATGGCAGGATGGGGTGCCTGGGTGGCTCGGTCGGTTAAGCGGCCGACTTCGGCTCAGGTCATGATCTCACGGTTTGTGAGCTCAAGCCCCGCGTCGGGCTCTGTGCTGACAGCTCAGAGCCTGGAGCCTGCTTCACATTCTGTGCCTCTCCCTGTCTCTGTCCTCCCTTGCTTCTGCCCTGTCTCTCTCTCTTTCTCAAAAATAAATAAATATGAAAAACAAAAAAGCAATTATGCCAGGACAAGAAAAGAAAAGCAGAGCAAACTCTCACCCTAATTGTAACAATGGTCATTGCCTGTTCAGTCAGGAGAAGTAATGAGACCAAATAAGAGATCATTTCAGACATAAATATTTGTGTGTTTATATAAGTATTACATAGATTATAGAATCTAGGTGATAGCAGTATATAAAGATATATTTGTAATTTAATGTAGTAGGTATGTATGTAGATATGTCTAATTTATAGTCTTCACAAGTGAATTTAAAGAAAACTGTTCGTTAAACACGCTTAGAATTTGAAGCAAAGGGACATAATTTTGAGATAAGAGGGGTGCAGAGGACATTCACGCCTGATTTATTGAAAGGATATAAGGTCATTCATAGTACTTTTCAAGTATATATTCATGCCCATTAATGCTGTAAATGATGTCCTTTTGAAATTTAAAGACAGTTATATACGATGCTATCTATGGAATGAAGAGCCAAGGTATTCTTAAATTGATGCCCTGAGCTAGAGACTTGCCTAAACTGTCATGGAAACTTCTTATCAATTTTTTGATAAGGGCATTAAGCTAAGCTTGCATCGCTGCCTTTTAACACCTTTCTTTGCACAAATGTAATCTATGCAAAGTAAAAGTTGTATTTATTTTAATGCTCTATATTATGGTACAGGATGAAGTCAACCGGCTTTCAGTTCTTCAGCCTCAAATCGAGCGATTAAAAATTCAAAGCATAGCCCTGAAAGAGAAAGGACAAGGGCCAATGTTCCTGGATGCAGACTTTGTGGCCTTTACAAATCATTTTAACCAAGTCTTTGCTGATGTGCAGGCCAGAGAAAAAGAGCTACAGACAAGTAAGTAAAAATACTTGAAATGGCTAACTTGATATTTCCCTAATTTGGTACTTGTTGGAAAAAGAGAAGGTGCTGACGTGAAAGAATAATTTCTGTCAAAGGAATCCATCGCCCCTGCAGTCTGTAGTAACAAGTAATAAGATACTGTTGTTGGAAAACATATGTGTTATATTTCCATTTCTCCCCCTCACCTACCATAATAATTTCATGACTTCGAGGAACAAATAAAATATATGTTTTATATAGGCATTAATATCTCCTTGGTGGGTTGCAAATTTTACAGTCAAATATTTTGAACAGTGGAGGAAATAAAAGAACAGTTGGAGCCCTCTTGGTGGCTTTTCATTATATCCCGTTTGCTTTGTACAAGGATATTTAGCTAGGCATCTTACTAATACTTCTATCCAGTTTATATGCAGACTATTATAGCTGTAACAAGCATGTAGCAACTGAAATTCAGCCAAGAACAAATTATTCTTAGGGCTGCATTTTACTATTAAAACTATGTAACTATGCGGTTTCCTCATTTTCTCATTTAATAGTAAGATACAACCTCAGAGTGGAGAAGTTACACGGATTCCTACCATTTGACTAGGACAGTTTTCAAGATGTCTCTTTTGATTCTCATCAATTTCCTCTAATGCTATTAATACATAATATCTGGTCCAAAATAGCCCTACTAATCAGCTTAATTCTTAAGACAAAAATTCCTTTGGCAGACTGGTTTATGAACACTGCCAAGCATTAGTAAATGAGTTTTTCGTTCACCATACGCATACATGCCTGTGTACATAATGTGCATACAGAAGATTATAGAGTAAAATTGGATTTTAAGGCGTTAAGATAAAAATATTTTGAAAAATGTCTTCACCAAATTTGTTACGAGAGGCGCAGAACATGTATTTGTTTTCTACTAAATCTTTAATTAGTTGGAAAACATATTTTTTGACTACTTTTCTTTGCCAATATCCAAAGAATTTACCACATGGTAACATTTCTAAAATCAATGTCGTGATAAACGTAAAGCTTTCCCTATTTTCCTGGTTTTTAAATTTTTATTTCTTGGTGAGGTCATGGAATGAACTGAATAAAGCCAATGATGGATGCATATGCTTTTTTGTTTTGTTTTGTTCTTTTCCTTTAAAGTCATTTTGGCTGAGGGATTTGTTTTCCTGGTAGGGCATCAGTTAATGCAACTTTATAGTGACGTCAGCTCCCTCTAGTGGATTTCAGTATACTTGTTGCTGGGTATCTATAAATCAAAAGGGGAAAGAAAAGATTATGACTGTCCTAAATTTTCAAACAGTGACCTATTTAACAATAACGCATCTTTCTTGTCATAAACTCTGCAAGTCTCCCTTAAAATCAAATACAGGTTAATGGCTATACTGTGACTGCTGGGCAAAAGAGCTTATTCAGCAGGAAATTATTTTAATTTACATGTACCCTGTTAATTATGTTAAAGCTCCACATTTTTTCTGTTTATTTTAAAAATGTTCAGAATATTAATGTTTGTTGATACCTGAGATTCAACTATGATATTCCAATATAAGTATGGAATAATACTTACTCTCAATCCATAGAACCATCAATCTATACATCTGTATTATCATGTCTTTTATCTTTCATAATATGATGATCGTTTATAAAACGGCCAAAAATTTTCACTCCATTTATTTATAAATAAAATGCCCTCCCTTACACTTTATTTACTGAAACATCTCTGCCAATTTTAGCCACTCTTTTGGAAAGTTTGTCATGATAATTAATAATTACTAACTAAATAGGGATTATATATATGAATTATAAATTATATAAATTATAAATTATAATTATATAAATTATATATAAAATTTATGTTATATATGTATTCTATATATAAATAACACATATGTAATCATATATAATGATATTCAATTATAATTGAATTATATAACTTATTTTTGCATGTATATATTATAAATTTATATATATAACTTTACTGTGTATTAATATATGATATTATATACCTTTATGTAAATGGTAAGTAAAAAGTTCACCATTTCAAGTCATATTATAGTTCAGTTGTTAGTTAATAATTATTTCCAAAGAATTGTATGTATGTATATGTATGTTTCACCCCCAAACTGGCGCGGGGGAGTAAACCTGATTTCTTGTATTACTCCATGGTACTTTGAGCACGTTAACTATTCAGCAAATAAGAACTACCACAAGGGGTGGGAATCCATTCAGACTTTCATCTCTTCTTTCATTTTTTTTTTCTTTACTAGTGTTCTCACAATGAAACTAAAACTTGACTTTTTAAATGTACTTTGAGTGGTGAGGAAAATTGGTCTAAGTAATTGTTGCTGGGTAACTGGAAACACTATATGAAAAGATATATTCATAGTAATTTTCAGTCTACAAATACCTTTCATATAAATTAGCTTTCTTAGTCCTCACAGAGCAACCCTTTGAGAATATTTTATTATCCGTATGTCACAGGTGACCTAATAGATCTTGAATAACGGAGAGGATGGATAGTTGATGGGCACAAGTACACCTGGATGTTCATGGCACGATTATTCATGATAACGAAAAAGGGAAAGCAACTCAAGTGCCCATCAACTCATGAGCAAAGAAAGAAAATGGGCCTCTCCATACAACGAAATGTTAATAATAAGATGTAATGAAGCACTGATACTTGGTAGAGCATAGGTGAACCTTAAAAACATACTGAAGAAACAAGCCAGCTAGAAGAGGCCATATATATATAATCTATGATATATAACATATAATATGTACAATTATATATTCTATGATTATATTTGTAGGAAAGGTCCCTAACTGACACACCTGAAGATACAGAGGGTAGATTAATGATGGCCTAGGGCTAGAAGGTTGAGAGAGTAAAATTGTCTCCCAAAACGTTTGCTGCAAACCCTTCCCACAGAACTGCAAACCAGCAAGAGCATGCTCTCATCTAGATCGATATAAGAAAATAGCACATGGCTTGTTATAGTCGTCTCTTATTTTAACAAGAAAGATTTTAAATGTACTTTCTACATGTAAGTATGAAAACAGTTTGTAATAGAGTTTGAATTTATTTCAATTGTGAACTATAGTCATGTCATGCAAGTAATTATTAGTTTGTTTAGTTTTGAAGAAAATGGAGAAAGTGACTACGCTAGCTATGACAAAACAAGTGTGTTTGTTTTTGTTTTCGTTTTGCCTTAAACTTCACAAGAATTTTCTTCTCTTCTATAACCATAGATTTCTAGCACAATATTGTCTTTTTGTTTTGTTTAAAAACATGGTAATCACATGTAATGGGAGATCTACACTCTTCACAAATTTGTAAGCACAAAGGCTAGTGACTATAGGCAGGCACAGTGTTGTTGCACAGTTCCTAGAAATTAACTCTTGAATGACTAAAATTTTATACCTGACAAACAGTAACTCCATAATTCCCCTTCCCTCTAGCCCTGGGCAACTGCCATGCTATTCTATGCCTCTAGGAGTTGGACTATATCACATATCTCATATAAGTGGAATCATGTGGTGTTTGTCTTCCTCTGACTGGTTTCTTTCATTTAGCATAATGTATTCTAAGTTCTTCCCTTTTGTCACATATGGCAGGAGTTTCTTATGGTTTCAGGGTGAATAATATTCTGTCGTATGTATACCACTTTTCCTTGATCCATTTACCCATCGGTGGACATTTAGTTTCTTTCCATATCTTGGCTGTTGTGAATAATGCTGCAGTGAACATGACACTATAGATATCTCTTCAGGAACCTGATTTCAGTTGTTTGGGATATGAACCCAGAAGTGGCAGTGCTGAATTGTACGGTAGTCCTATTTTTAATTTTTTTGAGAAACCTTTATACTGTTTCCTATAGCAGCTGCACCATTTCACATCTCCACAAATGGTGGAAGGTGCCAATTTTTCCACATTCCCAGACCTACTTGTTATTTTTTTTGTTTGTTTCTTTTTGATACTAGCCACCCCGACAAGTGCAGGGTGATATGTCATTGTGGTTTTGATATGCATATTTATAAGTAGTGTTGCTGAGCAGCTTTTCATATATTTGTTGTTCATTTGTACGTTGTCTTTGGAGAAATGTCTATTTGAATCCTTTGCCTGTTTTTTTTTTGGGGGGGGGTCTGGTTATTTTTTCCTTTTGAGTTGTAGGAGTTCTTTATATATTTTAGATATTAACCTCTTATCAGTTACATGGTTTGCAGATATTTTCTACCATTCTGTAGGTTGCTGTTTTATCCTGTTAATTGTTTCTTTTGTTGTATAGGAGCTTTTTAGTTTCATGTAGTCCCATTTGTGTATTTTTACTTGTGTCACCTGTGCTTTTTAGGTCAAATCCAAGAAATCATTTGAAGACCAGTGTTATGAAGCTTTCCTCTTGTGTTTCATTCTACCAGTTTTGTGGTTGCAATTTTTTTTATGTTCATTTATTTTTGAGAGAGAAAGACACACAGAGTGCAAGCGGGAAAGGGACAGAGGGACTGGGAGACACGGAATCTGAAACAGGTTCCAAGCTCCAAGCTGTCAGCACAGAGCCTGACACAGGGCTTGAACTTGGGAGTGGTGAGATCGTCGCCTGAGCCAAAGTCGGATGCCCAACCGACTGAGCCACCCAGGCTCCCCTGTGGTTGCCATGTTTCAGTTGAATCTTTAATGTATTTCAAGTTGATTTTTATATATATTGTAAGATAAGGGTCTAACTTTGTTCTTTTGCATGTGTATATCCAGTTTTCCTAGTACAATCCTATGAAGAGACCATCCTTTATTGTTCTTGGCACTTTGTCAGAGATCAGTTAACCACATGCGTGTGGGTTTATTTATGGGCTCTCTCTTTTATTCCTGACTATATGTCTGTCTTTATGCCAGTACCTCACTGTTTTAATAACTTTAGCTTTGTAATATGTTTTGAAATCAGAAAGTGTGATGCTTCCAGCTTTTTCTTTCTCAAGATTGTTTTGGTTATTTGTGGTGTTTTATG